GCCGCGGGGGGAAGACGGGCGCGCGCCGGGGGCTGGAGCGCGGCGTTGCCCCTTCCACCTCCCCGCTGTCTCCTGTCCTGTCTGCCGCTCGCTTTTCCAAGTGTTCGGGCTCCTCGTTCAGAGCGGGCTGGCGCTGCAGGCGCTGTTCTGCTCCAGCAGGCTCCGAGGGCGGCACGCTGAGGCTCGCTGACCAATCCTCCTTCCCGCAGGGCAACGAGAACCAGAGCCAGAGCGTTCGGACTTTTTTCCTGGAGCTCATACGAGCGAAGAAGCCTCTTGTTCTCCACAACGGCCTGATCGATCTGGTCTTCCTGTACCAGTGCTTCTACGCCCACCTGCCGGAGACCCTCGGCACCTTCACCGCCGACCTCTCGGAAATGTTTCCAGCGGGAATATACGACACCAAATATGCTGCAGAGTTTGAGACTCGCTTTGTAGCGTCCTACCTGGAGTATGCTTACAAGAAGTGGTGAGCGGCACTCGGGGATTTAAAGCATATGGGAGGAGAGGCAAAGGGAGCGTCAGCGGTTCGTTTGTTCGTTTTTCCAGGCAAGGGGGTCGGGTCTTTGCATTACCCCAGGGAGTGGAGAAAGGTGCTTTTCAGGTGACTCCGCCCTGCGCTCTGCCCTTTTCTAGGATGGGTGCTGAGTGCAGAAGGGCGCATTTTGCAACGGGCCTTATCTGTTCGCTGGCAGCTGCTGAAAGAGGATTTCGGTCTTCCACTGGCAGCAGTTTTGACCGCAGAGTGACCTGATCGAACTGAAAAATAATTGATTCACGGCATGGCCCTGGTCCAGCAGTGCCACAGGGCCGCGGCAGGAACGGACGCAGAAGAGAGACCCTTAAAACTTGGCTAGAGAGCAAGTGAGAACAGGGCTGCGCCTACGGGGCTGCTAGTTGTGACTGGGATTTGGGGGGGACGGGGCAGTGAAAGGGCGAGCGTCCCGGCACCTCCCGACGCGGAGCAGCTCTGTCACGCGTCCCGCACGTGACACTTGCATGCGGCCAGCTACCCCTCCCATCGCTCTCCTGCCAGGCGCAGGTTGTGGTTGTGTTTCCTGCCTTGCTGCCTGCCCCCAGCTCTCCGTGGGTATCCTCCAGGCAGACGCACGTCAGAAGCAGAGATGTCTGTCCCCTCCACGTGCCAGTCTGGCCCCCAGTTCTGCACTCCCCGCACCACCTGAAGAAGCCCCAGGCGGTGATACAGCCCTTTGAGTCTCCCTTGAACGGAAGTCACGCTCTGCACGCGTGCAGAGGAGAAAGGGTATTTCTGATGACTGTTTTATGTTAGGAAATGCCATTTTGACAGCGTGAAAACAGTCAAGATGGCTGTTCTCAAGCATGAGAATGTTTTGATAGGATTAAAACACTTTTTAAACTGATCTCTTAAATGTTTTAACCAACAGTTCTAGTTACGTGCAGCTTTCCAAAGGCTTTGGGCCTTCTAGCCAGTGCCTGGGACAAACCAGTTCTTTTCTCATGAGATGGAAAATGTGTCCTTGTTGTCTGCGTTGCCCGGGTTCGGCCTGCCAGGGCAGCGGCTGCTGGATACTCTTAAGTGACACCTCATTTTGGGGCATTTCCTCTTCATCCCTTAATGTTATTAAGATAACACATACCTTAGTGCCCTTAATATTTAAAACCAAGCCGTGTCCCCCCTTCTCGCATAGCTTCACACTGTTGTCCCTGCCCATGTGTTGGCGTAAGAGAAACCAGCCTTTCAGTTGGCACAGAAGCAGCTCCTCGCTAAACCTGTTCTCCCAGGACTGAGTTTCTTTCCAGCAGGCCGTTGAGCTGGGGCTAGAGCTGGAGAGCAGGAAACTAGTGGAATCGAGACTCGGTGGAGAGCAGCATGTTCGCTCCAGCTCCGCGCTGTGGTACCTTCGGCGAGTTCGCTGCGGTAACTGTGTACTCTTGTTCCAGCAAGCGGGAGAACTGCAAGCTGAAGGACTCCAGCAGCCAGCACCTCACCGTTGAGTTCTGCAACTACCCTGCTAACATGTCCCATTACATCGACTATCGCCACTGCTCTCTGGAAGAAGAAAGCCACAACGTGGGAGAGGGAAATAAAGTGCCTGTCTGTGAGAAGTTTTCGGTAAGTAACATGAATCCCTGCTTCCTTCCTGGCTCCACAGACAGAGCCACGTGTGGCCAGAGCAGGAAGTGGTAGGAAAGCACCTGGGACCTTCCCCTTGCTTGCTTCACTGTATGAGAATGATTTTCAAGCTTCAGGTGGCTTCATGGAAAGGGCAATAGCCTGCTCTGTTTGGAGGCGGTGAATTCCGCAGGCTACATGAGACAGGAAGATTCATCAGGAGATTGTATGGCCCTGAACAGTGGGATGATACGATGGTACCCACTGTTGTCTTGGGAGAGCCCTAAGGTCTAAATAAGTTTGGCTTGTTCTCTGAGGAAGAAATGCCACCTCTCTCCCGTATCATGATTAGATATAAGAAAAAATATTGCCTGTCTGCGGCTTCTGGCACTGTAGCAGTGTGATCCACAGCATCTCGAGTCCTGGTGCTGCTACGGCAGTAAACAAAGAGCCCATCTGATCATAACTGGTTTCAGATGCTTCAGGGAGAAAAAGAGCTCTTCCTGACGTCGCAGAACAACATAGGTTGGAGAAGCCACTGGAAGTTTCTCACCCAGCCACCAGCTCAGTATTGCTCAGAGCCTTGTTTGGTGAATTTGTAAGGAGAGAGATGACAAAACCCCTCCAGTGCTTGTGTGTCCCAGTGCTCGACCACTCACTGTGAAAAATGTTTCCCTGTATATCTAGTCAGAATTTCCCCTGACTGTTAGCACTTCACCTTTCCCTGTGCTCCCCTCAGAAGAGTTTAGCTCCACCTTCTCTGTGCTCTCTGCTTCAGATGGCTGCAGGCAGCACCTAGATATCTCCATCCCCTTAGCCTCATCTTCTCCAGGTGGAACAAATCCTCCTTCCTTGGCCCCTCCTCATACATTGTGTGCTACATCTTGACAGCTCCCGGCTGTGCTCGCTGCAGTTTGTCAAAGCCTTTCTTGTGCGTTGTGGGGCTGCAACTGGACACAGTGCTCCCAACACAGCCTCCCAAGCCCTCGGTAGAGGGAAATAATTAGCTCTGCTCCATGTTATGGGGATAAGCGGCTCTGACCAGGAGGCTGATGGCTACAGACATCTCTCTTTTTCTCCCTAGGCCTATGGCTGGTGTCCAAAAGGAGTGAAGTGTCCACAGTCTCATAACATTGACCTCATAATTGATGAGGATGACAAATTTTGGGAGAAGCAGAAGAAACGGAAGCACAAATGGAAACGTCGGAAGAACACAGAAGAGCCTGTAAAGGTGTTTGAACAGGAAAGCTCGGGAAAAGAAACGGAGCTGGCTCAGAATGGGGAGGAGGGACCACCACGAAAGCAGAGCTGCTATGAGCCTGCAGCTGCTGCCTCACCCAGCAGTGAGGGCAGGCTGCTGGAGGAGAACTCCATGGACGTGGAACGAGAGGTCAGTTCAGACACCAGCGCACAACAGGAAGGGGATCTGGGGAGCGCTGCAGGAAGCGCTGCTGCTGTGAGCCCTTCTGCCAAGGGAAATGCCTCTGACAGCGACCAAGTGGAGGGGAAGTCAGAGGTTGCTGCTGGGGGGGGCTCAGTCAATCACCCAGACACCCCCCGGACTGAAGCAGCATGTGGTACAGAAAAGGAAAAGGAAAGCCATGGTCTGCCTTCCCAGGGGGGCACACACCGAGCTGGCTTTGATGCTTTCATGACTGGCTACATCATGGCTTATGTCTGGATGCTCAAGAAAGGAAAAAACACAGATGATGGCGCAGGGCCCTGGTTGCCAGACTGCCACAATAAACTGTACCTCAGTGGGAAATCGGTGCCACTTCAAATAGCGAAGAGCTTGTTTTCTAAATCTTCCAAAGCTCACAGCCAGAAGATGAAGCTGGCCTGGGCCAATGGATAGAGCTAGAGGACTCTTCACTGAACTGTTTTTTTTTTTCCTCCCCCTCAAGTTCTGAAGTTCTTTATTCCATCAAGAACTGACCAGAAGGGGAGCAAGTTTCTCACTCTTGTTTTTGTTTTGACTTTTGACCAATTAAATCGCTCTCAGTCGGAGTTCCTGCTGTTGTTCCTTAGCGGCATGCTAGGCTGCAAAGGCAGGGGGGAGGCTGGAGAAGAGGGAGCCAAAGCGCAGCTCTCCAGCTGCAGCCAGGGCTGCAAGTTTCAGTTCAGTGCTTTGCACAGAGTAAACTCTGTGGGTTTTGAACAAACAGCCTAGGGTTGCCTTTCGGGAAAGACCCTATGCTAGCTGCTTTAGCATGGGTTTCACTTCTTGCAGAAGATGAAGAGAGTAATCACTTTGTAACAAGAGGAGACAGAGGCCAGAGCTTCCCACTTAGCATGAAATTAACTTCTTAGCATGTTGGAGCCCCAGCCTCCTCCCAGATTTTTGCCTGTATTCTTACTGCACCTACAGCCTTGCTGCGTGCTGTCACTTAGCAGTTAGCAGAGTTAGGGTAGGATAGACCTTTTCAACAGGACCATGTACTAAAGATTAAAGTCTTGCCTAGAAAAACACATTGGAAAGCTCCAGGCTGTTGACCCATACAACCAGCTTGATAGAAAAGCTATGAACAGTCACTGGAGGAAGCTGTGATGCTTCTGCCAGACACCAGATGAAAGCAGGCTACCTCTTCAGGGAAAGTATATTTTTTTATGAATGTTTAGTCAAGCATTACTGCCTTCAGTCACTGCTGGTACGGTAGAATCATAGAATCATTAAGGTTGAAAAAGACCTCTAAGATCATCAAGTCCAACCGTCAGCCCATCACCATCACTCCTGCTAAACCATGTCCTGAAGTGCCACATCTACACGTTTTCTGAACACCTCCAGGGATGGCGACTCCACCACCTCCCTGGGCAGCCTGTTCCAATGCTTCACGACTCTTTCAGTAAAGAAATTTTTCCCAATACCCAATCTAAACCTCCCCTGATGCAATTTGAGACCAAAGTAACTCCCTATAACCCTCATAATTATTTCCTGTCTAAGGAAGTCAAGAAGGAAAAAAGTGTTGGGTTTTTTTTTTTTTTCCCCAGAAAGAGACACTGACCACGGTTGGTTTAGAACATGCACCTGGGAACGCTATTGCACTTCGTATTTGTACTTTACCTTAATCTTGGTTACAACCTACATAGATGAGACCTTTGCACATACCGGAGAGAGCAGAAGGAGAAAGCTGCTCCTCTGAAATGGGCCAGCTGATTCTAGTGCAGGGTAACTGCATGCAGATCCAAGCCAGAGCAGGCCTTCAAACTTCTAAGTAAGGGGAGATGCAGTGGGACTGAAAGCCAGATGTACTCCTCTTACACTGCACTGCTTCCTGCGCTACTGCAGCTATTCTCCAGGGCTAGAACAGAGCAGCCGCAATGGCAAGCTCCCTGCAGGCTGAGTGCTATCAAAAGCCATCTTGACCTGTAGGTCACAAGTTACTGCCTACTCTTTAGAGTGCCATAAGGCAGCACACAGAAAGTCCTTGAGTGTCATGGATTTAATAGTGTAACACTTTAGTAAGATGCAGGAGAGAAATAACACTGAATAAGGACGACAGTTCTCCCTGTTTATAATTCAGCAGTGAGTAATAGTGAACATGATCTCAAGCCAAGTATTGATGTCATCCATAACTTAAGTAAGCATTTGAGCCAGCTTTTTTTAACCTAGAGTTGCCCTCAATCACAAGACTCAGGCCTTGATTTTATTTTTATTTTGAAAGCAAGTTGGGAAAGTTTACAAAAACCTGACCAAGAAAAAATTATGAAAATATTTAACTGGATTCATCTTTGGTTACTTCTTATTGCAGTTCCAATAAAACATACACCATTTCTATAGTTCAAAAAAAGTCAGAAGCTCAATCAACATAAAAACAAGACGTGCTTTCTTTACATATTCATAAATATCCACAATATTAGAAAAGTTGTTTTGCAAAGATTTTTTTTCTGGCAGTGTTAACTTACTATTATACACAGGCTACAAACTTCTTCCTAAGCCTTTAATTACAAGTTGAGCTATTTACAGACTGCAGAATATTAAGACGTAAAACTCCTTCATAAATACGAAAATAGATCATCTCCCAAAGATCTTTATACTTAATCAAATATCTGGCTGCCCCTCCTCCCAAAAAAAAGGTTATTTGTTTTGCATAGAAATGTAGTGACATGCAATATAAACAATAGCATTAAGTGCAAACAGGAATTATTCAAGTGTCTTTAGTTGTACTGGCAAAAAATACCAATGTTCTGTTACACATAATATATCAACGCCTCTCCAACAGGTATAAGTCTACTATAGCCCCTTGTCTGCACTGCTTTTGAGGGGCAGCAATTCACATGCATTCTCTTAGTTGCATTTTATCAACCTGCAACCACAACAAAAATAGCTTATTACAGACATTTAAATGAATTCAACATAGAAAGATTTAAAGTGAACTAAACCCATCTTTGATCTCTTCAGGGAACCTAGCAATGTGTAGAAAGTGTTTTAAAAGAGCAGGAACTGCTCCCCTAAGAAAGTCAAAAATCATCATAAAATCCAATCACAGTAAAACTCTGTCACATCACTATAAAACAAGGAGTTTGCTGACGACGTGCTTGTATTCGTGTTCATCAGCAGCTGTCAGAAAATGGCCCCCAGTAGAAAAGCACCCTCAGGTGGGCAGAAAACCTAGAAATAGTTACTAGGTGCAACCTAGCTTCGGCTTTACACAGCCAAGGGATGAGACGTAGTGAGTACCACCTGCATCCGGACCTTTGGAAACACCGGGTTTTAGCAAGCGCTTAGCTATTTTAAAACGGCCTTGTACTCCAGTTTCACACACATGCCTCTTCCCCTGCAGACAAAGAATCCAGGGAAGGCCTGAGCTATTCCTTGGCATTTCTTTCTGACATCTCCACCTCAGTACGAAGAGCTAGACAAGTTGATAGATACGCCCTGTGAACATCAGCTAGCTGTGCTTAGAGTGGACATTTAAGAAAATACAAAGCAGCATGGCTAAAATTTTAAGAGAGCTGTTCAGGGCAGGGAAACATTTTAAGAGACCGTGGTGTAAGAAAACAGATGAGGTCACTGTGATGGGTGCCTTAGAGGTACCCCAAGCCTGACTGTACAGGCTTTGCAGTCAGCGTCAGAGAGGGCAACAGGCTTCATGATGGGGTGTGTCAGCGCTGATGGCCAGGGCTAATGCAAGTCACAGCACAGCCAGAGGCGTGCGCCTGCTCTCCGATGGGGCTGCAGGCAGCTGTGGGATGCTGGACAGCTTCCTCGCAGGCTGGTGATCCAGAAGTAAACTTCCTTGTTATTGCTTTGTTTGTCTGAAGTCACACACCTAAATCCATCTTGTGACAACAGAAGGTGGTGCTGATGTTTTCCCTCCTGAAAGACTACAGTTGTGTAAAAGATAAAAAGGGGGAGAGGGGGAAGCAGGCACTGGGCCGGCAACTAGGTGGCAACTGAGTTCTGCTAACTGACTCCCTGTCCTCAAAAGAAATTACACACAGAATGCCTGCCACGCAAGCTGCTCTGCCCTCTGCAGACACCAGCCCTGCAGGCAGGCTACGCGAGATAGACTACCTCTACAGACCTTCAAGAGGCAGAGGGCCAAAAGGGGTGATCTTGGTAAGGACAGGCATTTTGCCTTTCAAACTGCTAACAGCTGCCTAATGTGGCATGGACTGTGCTAAGTAACTCAGTGATGCTGGGTTTCTCATTTAATTCTTCGCAGCCACTGCAAAGGAATAACTGCTGCTCAGGTGAACACATATTTCACCAGCGGAAGTCATAATTATAACTCGCAGAACAGTTACCTACACTTCTGGAAATACAAGCATCTCAGCCAAGTAAGAACTAAGGCTTTCTCCCTCGTCCTTTCTTTGAGATAGGAAAAGAGTAGGAATAGTCTTGCTTCCATCAAAGACTAGCTTACATTTTCTGTCCTTACAAGGGAGCAGAGAGAGTGCGTAACATGCTACCTGGGTGAAATTCTGGTCTCCAGTGCATCACCATCTGCTCAGCAGGCAAGCAATGCATACCTCAGTTAGGAATGATAATATAGGTTAAAAAAAAAATTTAAAATTCCACATCGTTGGGACACTGATAGTGAAAAAGGGCAGGATGTTGCACAAGCATCACCACAGAACAAGCTCTTTCCCGTACATTGCATCCCAGAGCGGGGATCTCCGATGCTGGCTCCAGCAAGCAGCGTTAAAGCTTACACCACTGCTGCTTTCACATGTACCTGCTGGTGAAGGGAAGAAAAAAAAAAAAAAAGGGAAAAAAAAGATCATCCTATTCAGTGACAGTAGAAGCCAAAGAAGACAACAGCTTCTTCCTGTAGAAGAAAAAAAAAAGTTAATTTAGGACAAGCTAATTTTCTTCAGTTCGACAATTCAAAGCCCTTGTGCGAGTCTACTGTCTATCCTCTCCAAGAGCACTTGTGTGGCTGCAACACTGCTGGCAGCTTCCCCTGAGCAGGGGATTCCTGTCCTCTACCAAGCACTCTGGTTTTAAATAAGGAGCCACCGCTCCTGGAGTGATATCAATGGGATGGCATGTCATACCAGAGAGGGACGTGAATGTGACCCTTCTAGCTTAGTGGTAATAGTCAACTGTGATGTAGATACTGTATTTTAACTGTTCTGCAGAAACAGATGATGATGTCCATTCAGCTCTTCAGAGGTAAGAGCCGACACCCTCCAAAAGCTCAGTACAGCTGGTACTTTCACTGGCAGTTTCTCCAGAGGCCCAGAAATAACAACGTCTGGAATATGCCTCTTCTCTTGTGCCCTGGGCAAATCTTCCTCCACATTTGGGTTTCAGTACATGAAGAGCTGTGCAAGGAGGAGAGCGGTGCTTGTTACCACGTCCTGCTTCCCTGCAGTAATGTGTTACGCATCATTACCAAATCCCAAGGGAAAATGAAACATCAGGGAACAGATTCTTCTAGTTAATCGCAAAGTACTTGTCATGTGACTCAGCTTGCAGACTGTGACCTGCATGAAGGGTTTTCATTTTGCTGCTTTTGAAAGAAGAGCTTGTTTAATGCTGCAACAGCATTCACGGCAGCTCTGGAACCAGAGAGCATTCCTATCTGCTCAGCATAGCTCTGAAAGATTTCTGTGCCTGTTTCTAAAACAGAGGCTCCGACTCACATGCGCTGCTGCAGAATGTTAATGCAAAATCTGCAGTGGTTTAGAGCAGCTGGTCAGTCAGAGGAAGAGGGAAAACCTAAGGGTCACTCTTTCTACCCAACATGGAGCTCAAGGCCTTAAAATGCTCCATGCTGGAATCCAGGTCAAACAGTTTACACGGTGCCGCCTGCTCTGGCTGCTGCCTCTTGGAAGGACCGTGGGGTCCACACGGCCACTCTGGTTGGAGCAGTTCCCCCTCCTAATGCAAATCAGGGAAAGGAATAAGCACAGTTTGAAATAAAGTTAAAATAATCAGTCTCTCCAGACGCTGTCTGCAGCTATTTGTTTGACAGCCAGTTTCTACCATCTGCTGAGTCTCTTTTGAATGTGAAGCTCAGCACTATAGAAAAACAGAGTTTAAGCGACCAGGAACAACTCTTCCCTCAAGGACATGTTCAGTTTGAGCCCTCTCTTCATATGTCACAAGTTGACTGCGTGCTGCCAGTTGCTGAGATGTTGGAGGAGGTTTGAGACAATAGAGCAGGACCATCCCCATCCTGCTCCTTGAAGGGCCATGCCTCTCTGTTCGGCTCGCTGGAAGGACTAACGCTGAACAGAGGCTTTGTAGACTCTAGCGGAGTATTTTTCAGTAGGCCATCTTCTACCTCCATCTCTTCTGAAGGGAGACAACCTGCAAATGCTTGTGAGGAGCCATGTCCCTCAGAGTTCACTGAATTCTCAACTGGGAGCTTTTTGTAAGACAGCAGCTCAGGCTGGGCCAGCACTAATGGTTGATTACATGCTGGATCTCCACACGTGTTCTCAACAGGGCAAAACCCATTTTCCTCCTGGGCCACTGGCCCATCTGAACAGTCCATATCCTCCTCTTGTCCTGGTACAGGAAAAAATTCTGGCCTCAGAGGCTTGGCTTGAAAGGGGGGAATCTCTGACACACCATATTTACTGCTACTCAGGAGTTTTTGCCGAACCTCTGCACCTAGCTGGGCTGGGTCACACCTGCTGACAGTTGAAGACAGTCCCCCAAACAGGCCATATTCCTTGTGCGGCAGTTCAGGAGAGAGCGGAAGGGATCTGCATCTCCTCCCAGGAAGAAGGGAAATATCTTGCCAGTCTGTGCTGTATGCCTGCCGGAACTGGGACGCCATGCCTCTCTGTTCGGCTCGCTGGAAGGACTAACGCTGAACAGAGGCTTTGTAGACTCTAGCGGAGTATTTTTCAGTAGGCCATCTTCTACCTCCATCTCTTCTGAAGGGAGACAACCTGCAAATGCTTGTGAGGAGCCATGTCCCTCAGAGTTCACTGAATTCTCAACTGGGAGCTTTTTGTAAGACAGCAGCTCAGGCTGGGCCAGCACTAATGGTTGATTACATGCTGGATCTCCACACGTGTTCTCAACAGGGCAAAACCCATTTTCCTCCTGGGCCACTGGCCCATCTGAACAGTCCATATCCTCCTCTTGTCCTGGTACAGGAAAAAATTCTGGCCTCAGAGGCTTGGCTTGAAAGGGGGGAATCTCTGACACACCATATTTACTGCTACTCAGGAGTTTTTGCCGAACCTCTGCACCTAGCTGGGCTGGGTCACACCTGCTGACAGTTGAAGACAGTCCCCCAAACAGGCCATATTCCTTGTGCGGCAGTTCAGGAGAGAGCGGAAGGGATCTGCATCTCCTCCCAGGAAGAAGGGAAATATCTTGCCAGTCTGTGCTGTATGCCTGCCGGAACTGGGACTGGCTGGGCTGCAGGGCTCCCCCCGCCCCTGGGGAATGCAAGTCAAACACAAGGGAGATCACAGACTTGCTTGGCATGTCAAAGAATTTGATCTTCCCCCCCTTGAGGTCCTCCCGGGCACTGAAGGGATTAACTTTCCGGCCTAACCCTTTGTTTGGCGTATAGTAGGGGTCCTGCACGTTTATCTTCCTGGAAGGCTTGCGTGAAAAGATATCTGACTGGCTGCGTGACAACCAGATATTCCGACGTGGACGGGGTGACTTGGGTGGGATCTTATCATCCAGGGAACTCAAACGTTTTACTCCTGGTCCTTTTTCAATTGACCCTGAGTAGAAGAAAAGAAATACTCTTAGCCTAAAGGAGCTACATGCCTGGGTGTCTGCTCACTCACAGAGCCTTCATGACAACTGTAAAGAAAAAGCTGCATTTCTGATGTTCCAAATTATCTTCCGTAAGTACATGTTTGCTCATTCTGTACAAGTTCCTGCACAAACACAAGGACATCATTCCCTTCTCCTCAGTGTATTGTTTCAAACATGGAGATTGGGCAGCCCTGTCCACAGGACCTTAAATAAAAGGCAGTCAAAACTATGTTTAAAATATTCCCTCCTCTTCACTCATGCCTCAGGCTAATTAAAAGTAATCCTGAAGACTTGAGGAAATGCAAATTCAGTCAACGCCATCTTACTTCCCTCGGCAGTGAAACTGGATTGCTTCTTTATCATTTTATTATCAAATTTTCTACTCACATTATGGAGGATGCTAATGTGACATGACAATATTGTCTTCAGAAAAAAAAACAAAGGAAAGGAAACTGTACAAAAATTTGGTAGGAATGAAGAAGTCTTTCCCTCTTCTACCCAACCCTGTGTTTTAGGGCCCCTTCAAACCTCCTCGCTGCCAGTACATTGACACAGCAGAGATGGCACAGGGTGGTCTTGGAGAAGAACAATGTGCATGTTTCTCGATTTCTCATCCTGGCTTCCAGAAGAGGTTGCTCAAGATCTCCTCATGATACCGACCATAAAAGAGAGCAAGTACAAAATACAGTTGCCAGAGGAATTGGGGAACTTTTTCACCTTGATGGAAAAAGTCTAAGACCAAAATAAATGCCCCTCCTGATACCATGAAGAGTTTACATCATTCCATCCCAGCCTTCCTTCAGTACCTTATCCAATACAGAAACCAGGGATATATGAGTTTGACTCTAACAAATAGGAGTTTAAAAGTTCTACATATTCGTGTGTGTATTTAGTTGGGCACACGCACACACACATATAAATATATAAAAATAAAAGCTCTATCACTAGGACAAGATGGGAAAATTTTAGTTGTTTTAGGAAAAGATGCTAACTCCTTGAGTGTTTGGAACATGCATCTGCCACTGGCTCTCTGAAGAGCTGTGATAGAGTAATAACAAACAGATATGAAGAAATGACATCTTTTGATTACGATTTCCAGAATAAGCACAGAACAATTTCCATTTTCCCTTTAAACACTGCCACTGTTTAGACTGGAGTCAGTCCTCCTAGGAAAGACTATGCAAGTCAAAGAACAGCATGTAACACTTCTCCAGGAAGATGCAAATATGACATGTACTCCAAAGGGAGAACAGTAGGAAAATGGGGGGGGGGGGGGGGGGGGGGGCGGAACCGAACCACCCCGCCCACCAACAACCAAAAAATCCCAAACAAAAAATTTTCCTTTTTAACTCACACCTCTTTTAGACACTTTCCAGGTGTGGGAGAACTACCACATGCATGCCCTCTATGTGGTTTGCAATACAGAACTTGTTTCAATCCATAACCACACTACAGATAGATATATATGTATATGTATTGTGTATTTATATCTACATAGTATGAGCAACTATTTTTACTGTACTCTAAGTTTCCAATGCCAGAAGTCTACTAACATGAAAGATATCTAAGTCAGAATATGCCCCAGCCTGCACGAACTGCTTGCAGTTTGCTCCCCGCACCAGGTGGCACTAGACAGCTTTAGAGAAAGCCCTTCAAGGCCAGCATTCCCAAGCAGATCCCGGATTCATCTTTTCCCTTGGCTTTCAGAGTATTTCTAGGTACTCTATAATACTCTTGCATCCTCTCTGCTCTTCCTCCTGAAGGAATTTAAGAAGATTCTAAGTGTTACATGTAACATACATCAAAGAAATTATGTATATGCACTAATTATGGCAGGGACACAGCAAGAGTTGATGGATTTTCATATACTATTAGAAACTTACAGAACCATTCCCAAAGCATTGTTCCAGAATCATTTTCAGGCTTTGAGCAAAATAATTCATAAGCTGTAAGTAATACCATGTATAGCTGAAATCCCAGTCTTCAAAATACGAAGCATTGTGCCCTCTTGCTGTTAGCCTGCAGCAATGTTTGTACAACACACTTACCTTTGGGTTTTCTTTCACTGTTGTCAAGGTTCAAAAACTTTCTCTCCGAATCCTCATTTCTCAGGCGGTTTAAGATCTCCTCCAGTGTTCTGACAATATCAGCAAATGAAGGACGCAGCTTTGGATCCATCTGTGAACGCACACAAATCAAGTAAGTTCATGTGGGTTTGCCCATGTTACTCTACTTACACAGTGGACAGACCAAGGGACAATCTGACGGAACTGAGGAAATTCAAGATGGTTTTAAGTGTGTTGTCATTGCAAAAAACCTAAGTAACACAGGGAAAAGTAGTATTCTGTCCCAGTTTATGTGTACTATACGTGTCTCATTTAATGATCAAGTTGTAGACATTCTATGATGAGGATGCATTTTAAATTGAAAAGGGTGGAAGCTGTTAGATTCAGGCCTTCAGACAGGGTTTTGTTTGTTTGTTTTAAACAGCTTTCATAGTTCCAGGATTTCTTTCTGGACTCCAGTTATCAGTCAGAGATTATACATCAGTGTTATTTCAAAACGTGCCTGAAGCAATAAGGATTGCACAGAGCAACGTGGCTATGTCACTCTTTAAAAAGTTTGTAATTCTTCCATCATCTTCTTGTGGCTTTAATTAAAACCCACCTAAATGGCATTGCTGATTTTGAAGTTTAAAATGTTGTATCCTTCCATTTGTTAATTAGCCTTACTACTCAGTGTACTGTCTGTCTTGTGAGGAAGAAAGATTGGTTATATAATTTGACACAGTAATACAAAAAACCCCATTTTTGCCCAAGTAAAATACTGCCCCACAGTCATCAGTATGTATTTATTTATTCACCCTAGTAGAAATGGATCTCTAAATGAAGTCCAACACTAAAATTGTACTAGACGGCAAGCGGTTTAATTTAAGTGGTAACTCAGAAGGCATTTCATCATTTTGAATGTTGACCCTGCATATATGTTACAGGTTTAACTACTGTAAGTAGCAAAGCTGAAAGTTAACCTCATTACACTATTCAAAAAAGATTCCGCTTGACCCGATTCCCATTTCCAGTGCTCTAAAGGCTTTTTCAGAGCAGACAAGCCCAGACAGATCTTACCTCTAGTACAAAGGGAACAGTGGTGCTTTGTAAACAAAAAACCCCAAAGACCTCCCTGATACTGCCTTGCAGGTCCTAGGAGATGGATCTTTCTGAAGAGAACTGCTATGATCAGCAATGCCAGAACACCTTCTAGCAACAAAGGGTAAAGGGCTAAAAATTCACATGTACAGTAATAAAAACCAACCAAACAAATAAATCGCATGATGAGCTTAAGAGCAGCAAGAAAGTTGTTCTAATGCAGCAGCTGGAGTTTCCTGGCATAGGAAAACATAATTTTCTGCTTTTCCTATTTCACTGAAAGAGTAGGGCAGGGGCAACACCAAAGCACACACCCTGTACCTGGACAAGCTTAATACTTTGGGAAGCTTAGAGAGCTGTTGCAAGCTACAGAAAGTAAGTAGAGCTCTCCGGCTATTTAATTTCTGCCAGGTGAGATCCAGCACAAGAGCGGCAATGGAAAAGTGACTCAGAGCAACATATGCCTCTTCCATCCCTGAGCAGTCCAGATTCTGCTCAAATGGCACAGAAGTTCTTCCTCAAGGCAGCAGCTGCCCACAGCTCACCTCGTGCTGGTAAGCTTTCTCCATGATCATACATGATTACCTTTATAAGCATTTGCACAAGTAAGCTTACAGTTGTTGGGGAGCCATAAGTTTTAGATTTCCTTGCATGTACTTATTTAAAAAATACACTTTATAACAGCAAACTAAACAAATTTTCATCCACTATTCACACATGTCAGTTTTTACTGGTTTTCTTTGGTTGCCCTGAAACATGTTTCCCAGCTGTAGAAAACCCCAGGGCTTTGCACATTACTTCAGCTAATCAGCTGAGCTATACAGTTTACACTGTTTGTTGACCTATTAAATAATAAACAGTTACATAATCATCCATATCTAAGAGCAAATTATCACTCAGATCACCTATTATAAAAGCACAGCATGCTTTGGAAGCCTTACTTGTTCACCACCTTTTTCCTTTTACTAGGTAAGCAGCAGGTGAATTACAGCATGCCCCACAATGAAATCAGCATATTAATGGCTCGATCACAAGGCAGTAATTTCCACTTTCAGTTCAGGGAATCACAGAATCACAGCATGGCAGGGGTTGGAAGGGACCTCTGTGGGTCATCTAGTCCAACCCTCCTGCCAAAGCAAAATCACAGAATCACAGACTAGTAGGGGTTGGAAGGGACCTCTGTGGGTCACCTAGTCCAAATCCCCTGCCGAAGCAGGGTCACCTACAGCAGGCTGCACAGGACCTTGTCCAGGCGGGTCTTGAATATCTCCAGAGAAGGAGACTCCACAACCTCCCTGGGCAGCCTGTTCCAGTGCTCCGTCACCCTCAGAGGGAAGAAGTTCCTCCTCATGTTCAGACGGAACTTCCTGTGCCTCAGTTTGTGCCCATTGCCCCTTGTCCTGTCACTGGGCACCACTGAAAAGAGCTTGGCCCCATCCTCCTGACACCCACCCTTCAGATATTTGTAGGCATTTATAAGGTCCCCTCGCAGCCTTCTCTTCTTCAGGCTGAACAAGCCCAGTTCCCTCAACCTCTCCTCGTAGTGGAGATGCTCCAGTCCCCTCACCATCCTTGTAGCCCTCCGCTGGACTCTCTCCAGTAGCTCTTCATCCTTCTTGAACTGGGGAGCCCAGAACTGGACACAGTACTCCAGATGAGGCCTCACCAGGGTAGTGTAGAGGGGAAGGAGAACCTCCCTTGTCCTGCTGGCCACACTCTTCTTGATGCACCCCAGGATCCCATTGGCTTTCTTGGCAGCCAGGGCACACTGCTGGCTCATAGTTAACCTGTCGTCCACCAGGACACCCAGGTCCCTCTCCGCAGAGCTGCTCTCCAGCAGGTCCACCCCAAGCCTGTACTGGTGCATGAGGTTGTTCCTCCCCAGGTGCAGGACCCTGCACTTGCCCTTGTTGAACCTCTTCAGGTTCCTCTCTGCCCAGCTTTCCAGCCTATCCAGGTCACGCTGAATGGCAGCACAGCCTTCCGGTGTATCTACCACACCTCCCAGTTTGGTGTCGTCAGCAAACTTGCTGAGGGTACATTCTAACTCTTCATCCAGGTCGTTGATGAAGAAGTTAAACAAGACTGGGCCCAGTACTGACCCCTGAGGGACACCACTTGTCACCAGCCTCCAACTAGACTCAGCGCCGCTGATGACAACCCTCTGAGTTCTGCCATTCAGCCAGTTCTCTATCCACTTCACCGACCACTCATCCAGCCCACACTTCCTCAGCTTCCCTAGGCGGATATCATGGGAGACTGTGTCGAAAGCCTTGCTGAAGTCAAGGTAGATAACATCCACAGCTCTCCCTTCGTCTACCCAGCCAGTCATGTCATTGTAGAAAGCTATCAGATTGGTCAGGCATGATTTCCCCTTGGTGAATCCATGCTGACTATTCCTGATAACCTTCTTTTCTTCCACTTGCTTCATGATGGCCTCCAGGATAAGGTGCTCCATCACCTTTCCCGGGATGGAGGTGAGGCTGACCGGCCTGTAGTTCCCTGGGTCCTCCTTCTTGCCCTTTTTGAAGATTGGAGTGACATTGGCCTTTCTCCAGTCCTCGGGCACCTTTTCTGTCCTCCAGGACCTCTCAAAGATGATGGAGAGTGGCTCAGCAATGACATCCGCCAGCTCCCTCAGCACTCGTGGGTGCATTCCATCGGGGCCCATGGATTTGTGGGTGTCCAGATCGCTTAAGTGATCCCTCACACAGTCCTCCTTGACCAAGGGAAAGTCACCCTCTCTGCAGGCTTCCTCTCTTACCTCCGGGGCCTGGGATTCCTGAGGGCCTGCCTTGGCACTGAAGACTGAAGCAAAGAAGGCATTCAGTAGCTCTGCCTTCTCTGCATCCTCCGTCACCAGGACACCCGCCTCATTCAGCAGTGGCCCCACATTGTCCCTAGCCTTCCTTTTGCTGCTGATGCAGTTGAAGAAGCCCTTCTTGTTGTTTTTGACATCCCTTGCCAGCTTCAAGGGGTATTTCAAGGGAAGGGATGTTTATTATGCAGAAAGCAGCATTTGATGATAATCAGTAGAGAAAAACCTTTTTCTCTGAACACACCAAATTTTTACGTGAGAATATAACTCAGTCACTTCCCCTTTGTTCATGAGTACAGTTTTACTCTGAATTTCACCTGTGCTGAAAAACTGCTTTGAATCATGCACCATGTGTTTGGATGCAGTACAATTTCTGTCTACAGGTGGGAGCTGAGACTTCCAGAAGTCAAATCCTACATCTAGCCAAACCCTTTAGTGCTTACATAGTCAAAACACTTCATAGACACGAGTCAGATGTACCACTGTCCTGGTGAAGCAAGCTCCACTGCACGAAGGTGAAATCAGAGAAGTAGCTTGTCCAGAGTAAGTTCTGCAAATATTTTTAGAATAAATTTATGCTATCTATGTCAAGAGCAGCAGTCACCCCACCTGCTCACATCCTCACCTTTACACTGCTCTCCCCTTGAGTAAGCACATGCATTTGTACTACTACAAAATAGAGAGCGCTCGGGGGCATCAAGAGCATGGAGAGATGAGACTGCCACTTTCAGCAGCAGTGTTGACATGAAAACAAAACAAAGCCTGAAAATTAGTAACAGGCAGAAATAAAAAGCCTGTTCTGAGACTCTTCTTACAAACGCTTACTTGGACACAGTGCTGGTATTGGCTCTAGCATGTCCTGGTTGTGGGGTCCCAGGCAAAGTTTTGTGAAATAAAATTTTCAGAACTTGCCTCAACTTATGTTGTGCAAACTGGACATTCCGAACTTCAGCTGAATTTGGTGGAAGCTCAGGTTCTCTTACTTCACATAAACCAGTTTACTATACAAAGATACTAGCAGCCTCTGTTGTGGGATAACCCACAAAAGAGATCTACTTCCCTGGACTTTTCACACTGAGGAGCCATGAAGGTATCCAGCACCAACTATCACAATTTTACTTGAATAACTAGCAGAAAATTTGCTCCATGCAGCGCATTGCCTAGAGCCTTACTGATATTAAAACATTTGGGTCCAAGTTTGTTCTTTTGGAAAACAGGCTAGGGATCTGGAGGTTTATCCCACTTTCCAAAAGGCAGCATATGGAAACTTCAGAGTAGTTTAGTGCCTGCTCTTGATTTGTTTGTCCCCTTTGTTTGTGAGAACAACTCAGAATTCTTTCTTCACAGCTCAGTAGGTCTGTACACAATAACAGCTGGATTTTGTCAGCCCAAGGGCCAGCCAGTGTCAATAGCATACAACTGGTTGTGATCAGCCTGAGCAGCCCACAAGAAGCTGTTCAGTGTGCTGGACCTGTTTGTTTGGCATGACAGAACACAGAATTGCAAAAACACAAGATGGACCTTTTTGCAAGGGGAAGGGAAGGGTTATAAAAACGGCAAGGGACATTCCGGGTTATCAGAATGTACACTGCTTTTACAGGTAGGCTCTTCAAGTTTCTTCTGTAAATGCTTTTAAGCTTCAACAGCCCAGAGGAATTTGGAGAACTCCAGTTTAGGCCTCTCCCCTTCAACTAAGGTACTCACATTACAGCAGTTGAAGGCCAGCTGGAGGAAGTCAGGGGGACAGTCTCCCACCATGTGCTGGAAGGCATCATAATCTAATCCAAAATTCTGTACAAACAAAAACACAGCATAGAGATATAAATGAGGTATGCTATCTGGCCCAAAGCATCCTCTTTTCAGGGGTTCCCTACATGGAGTTATCAGGAATAGCCATAAACACTACGTCTCAGCAGCCACATACAGAGGATTTTGAGAAAATTCCATGCACACTCTGAACTGCAGCATTCCCAGTGGGGATTACTTGATACAGGATACCTGTAAGAGAACGAGCTTACTTCAAAGCCCATCCTTCTTCCTGGACTCAACTGCAATCCATTGCACTTGAAATGCTGCCTGTGTGGATCTGGAAGCAATATCCTATACTATGATGTTTCACCATGGTGACTTTCACAGTGTAAATTAACAGCTTGCTATAAAACCAGAGGCTTCGCTATGATGAAAATTTATCATTTAAAATAGTAAATTTTTCAGTGGACCGGTAATACAAATTACCCAGTTCCTTAAATGCACTTCTATAAAATCTGAAGGGCAGAGAAACCAAAGGATGTCTTATTTACTGCAGTTCAAGACCTAAGCAATTTTTCGTTTTCAGAACAGACAATTTGGAAGACGTCCATAGAGGGCCAAAAGGTGCCCTGCAGATAGGACTCAGCCAAAAGGCAACTAAAGAAAGTAAGAACCATCTCATTTGATTAGTCGATTCTAGCTCTGATCCACAGTGCTTAGCACAGTCTATACAAGAATAAGAGTGACCTTGTTTTAGCTGCTGCTAACATAGCTCCTGCCCCTTTCACAAGGAGAGGCTGCTGAACACACGCAGTGTGCCAAAAGTGCTCTGTTCTGAGTCTGGCAGGAAGTCTCCATGAGCTATCACTCTACAAAAGGAAGGTCACTGCAACACTCTCAATGCTCTGCCAGTTAGGGACAGAAAGGATTTCCCATGAGGACTGCAGCTGGACAAAGTTTGTGTGAAAGTGTCTACAATGGAGCTTCTTACAATAACAGGACAGAAGAACAAAAGCCTTTTACAGGCTATTTTTAATGTAACACCTATTCATCGTATCTTTGGCAGCAGTGCCAGAACTTCTAAAGGCCAGCCATTATCATGGCATACTTACCACCTCCCACCAATGTTATAAACATAACCACTTACCTCTGTGCGAGGCAGATAGTCTGGATCTGCCTGTATTCTTGCTATAATCTCGCACAGAATTATACCATAGGAGAACACATCCGCCTGAGAGAGAAAAAAAAAAAAATAGTTGCATGGTTCAGCTATGAATATCCGTCACTGAGTTTCCCCTTACCCCAAATGGTTATCATGAAACAACTAGACCCACACCACAGCCTTACAACACTAAACAATTGCATTATAGCTAACATTTTCCATGTGAAGAAACACAGGCTCACAGTAAAGCATTCTTGTAGCACAAATAGCAATGATAACTTTAAAACACTTTCAAGAAAAAAATAAAAACCCACCAAACCACTCTTAATTCAGCAGTGTAAAAAAAAAAAAAGTCCTTCCTTGCATAAAGAATGGTGAAGTTGCATTTGATGTCTCACAGATGGGAGTAATTAACAACACAGCCAAAACCATGATATGCCTATGTATCACTGTGGTTAGAAAGATGGGTTTAGAATACACAATCACAGCTTACGCAGAACATTAATGCTGGTTTTAAGAAAAATTACATTTTTTTTCTTCTCACAGTTCAGTACCTCTGGAGAAAACAGTGTCTTTCCCAAAGCTTGAGATATCTAGTAACACTGTACACCAGCATCGATTTCCATTGAAATTTCCATGACACTTAGTAATCTCTTATCTGACTACCCTTGGAGCTGCACGGTTCCTCAGATTTCCACTCAACTGAATTCAACATGTAATAAAATTCAGGAAAACCTAGAACACAAGTCTACAGAGCTCAAGTTGGTATCCCCCATCCCTTAAATATCAGGCAGGCTTACATGTCAGCTTTCACGCTGATGAGATGAGACCTGCTTCCTCTTTAGTCCTCCATGCCCTAGAGCTAGTGAAGAATGTGGCGTCATAGATTTGGGTACTTTATTATTAATTTAGGTCAACTGGAACTCTTAACAAAGCTTTGAAATGTTAATTATTACATTCATTACTGAGGTAGCTACTGCCTTCCTGAAAGTTAAAAGTACCACCAATTAAACAGAATATTGACTGCTAGCTATAAAAAGGTACAGGACGTGGGCTTTATCACAGAAAGCTGCACTTGCAGGGCTGAAGTAGACTACATTACACATGGGAGAGAAAACCATGTGTAAAGAAGAGCTTGATTGAAAATACTATTTCTAAAATCCAGTGTGATCTGATCCTCCTCTGAAAGAAACATTTCCCAATGCCACAAATAGGGAAACATACAAATACCTTTGGAGAACATTTTTATTCAGAAATCTAAAAATTTTGATTTTTTTTTTTTTTTTTTTTAAATTAAAATACTTGTACATATTTACATACAGACGTTTTACTTCTACCCAGATTTCACTAATGTATGATCGGGGAGGTAACCTCACTACATTTCTCATGATTCTTGGTTAAATTCAGTTGAGTTCGGTCAACAAGCCATTATCATATTTCTGCATGTGGGATGATTCAGAATGGACATAGCATAACAGTGAATTATGATAAAGGTAATTCTATTTCTGTTTAGGAATCCACACCACGAATTAAAAATATTAGTTATTCAACTCACACTCTCCCTTAGTCTGAATGACCTACTGAGTACAGAAATGTCACGAATTAAAATAACAATAATTTTAATATTATGGAAATTCTAAACCTTCTATACAGCTATTGAAGCACAACATCTGACAACTAAAGTCCGTTTATACCAGGTACCTACCTTTTCATTGTAAGGTTCATCTCTGAGTACTTCTGGTGCCATCCAGAAGGGTGAACCCACCACTGGTAACTTCTCACTATGTAGATATGGGATAGATGGCAGGAAAGAGGGGAGGGGACCAGGGAGGACCAGAGAACCACCATTAATTAAATACTCTGATTCAGGCATTGCTACTAACTTTCCATAACTCCAAGTATCTGCAGAAAATTTCACCAGAGGTAAGTGAATACATGTGGGTTCCATAACATACTGTATTTTACACTGGTTTCCTACTGGAATCACTGGAACATTCAATAGGAGGAGGAGAAGGTGAAAGAAAAAGAAAGCTTCAATAAATAGAATGGTTTGGGTTGGAAGGGACTTTATATATCATCCAGTTCCAACTCCCCTGCCATGGGCAGGGTCACCTTCCACCAGACCAGGCTGCTCAAAGTCCCCTCCAAGCTGCCCTTGAACACTGCCAGGGAGGGGGCATCCACAGTTCTCTGAGCAACCTGTGCCAGGGCCTCACCACCCTCAGAGTGAAGAATTTCTTTCTTACTGCTCATCTAAATGTACCCTCTTTTAGTTTAAAGTCATTACCCCTTGTACCATCACTACATGCCCTTGTAGAAGTCCCTTCTCCAGCTTTTTTGTTTACTCATATTTTATTTCCAGTTGTTAAGTGCCTGGCCACTTTTTTTTTTTTAATTATTTTATTTGAAGGTCACAGGTGTTCAGTAGTTTTGGTTTCCAAACTCTTGGCAGAGTGGGCTCCTTCATCTACACATAAAAAGGTTTGTTGCCATCAGTTTTGGGCTAGATGTCAAGCTCTCCATTCATGCAGCAAGACATGCAGGTATCCATCCCTATACGTATACCAATAAGCAGCTCTGAAAGTATGCAGCACAGCCTGCTTGCAAACCTTTCTTTTTTTTAAAAGAAAATGGAGGTAAGACTAGATCAAACCAAAATAGTGGCCAATGTAACAATTTTATTACATTGTTTGTTTTAGTATCAAGCTACGTTAACTTTTAGCTATTATTATACTCTCACTTTTCAGGGCATCTCAAAACTGGATATTAAGGACATCCTAAGGCACCTGTGGTGCCTTCCTGATTTTGTGATGAGTTCATACATATGAATACAGCTGAAGCTTTCAGCACCTTAAAGGGCAGAGATTCCACAGGAGTGTACAAGATACACAGTGGCTGTACTTAGCAGGAGTTGGGAAATTAGAATGTTCACTTTGTTAAGCTTTTAGATCAATATTTCATCAACATTAATGTGATCCTTCGGACCTCCCAAGATAGGATTTTATTATATGTGCAGTTTAAAAACAGTGCATAGCTAAGATCAACTTTTATTGTTTTCTTTGCAGTCAAAAGAACTGGAAGGCTTTTATCTATTTTACGCAGAAGTATGCACTGAAGAAAAATCTCACAGTACATTTTCACAGTTAGGATACTCCGAAATACACAAGTCAATATACAGCGAACACAATGAAATCCTTGTCCTTGATCTCCCTAACCGAGGGATGACAAAAGGACTATTTCCAATTGTGACAATAGCTCGTGACAGTCACCTGTCCATTCCTCAAATGAGTTAAGATTATAATTTCACTTTAGGGAAAGCAAAATGGTGAGCTACTGTTAGACAGTAATTTTAATATCTCCTTGTTATAAACCTGGATCCTAACAACCAACGCAGAAGTTAAAAAGAATAATACTGGAATGTCACTGAATATTGTTTATGAAAATAGAAAGAAGCTAATTAAAGTTGTTTGTAATCAACAGAGGACATTTATTATAAAATCATCTCAATCCAGAATGCTGGACAGTATTTTTGTGTTTGCTTTGTTGTGGTGGTTTTTTGTTTTATGTTTTGTTGTCCCAAGTACCTGCTTAGAAGATCTACTGAAAAGCTTAAGTAAATCCTCTATTCGCTGGAGCATTTTTGAAGAATAAATGTCACCAATAAAACTATCAAAATGGACAGTAATTAAAGCTGGAACATTTTGATCAACCAGCCTGCAGTTCTAGACTTAAGACTGAGGATATTTTTTGCAAATTTTGTACCAGAATGCAATAATGGCCTTGGGGATCTGGCTCATTTGAGCTACTGACCTGCAATTGCACTGCAACTCTTGCTGTATTTTTTATTAGTTCACGTACCTGTGATCAGGAATTTTCTCTGCTAAACCAAAGTCTCCCACTATTGCTGAGTATCCATTCTCGTCATGTTTTATTAAGCAGTTCTGGTGGGAAAAAACAAAAACAAAACCGAAACAAAAAAAACAACAGAAGAGTTATTGTCTGGCCATGAAACCCATATACCATTTGTTTTATCTATTTTTAATCTGGAACAAGACTACAAGATACTGTTTGGAAGACATTAATCTATGAGAAGCTTTTGTCTGAAAGCAACCACTCTTTTCCCCTCCCCTCCCCCCCATGCACAATCACATGTCTGTCAAACTTAAGATGCTGCAAACAGCCTTACACTTAGTTAATAATCCACTTAAAAACTTGCTGAGAAAGCAGGCAGCCACAGGCAGCACGTACCCAGCTATGTTCCAGCAAGAATTAAGATGATTTAGCTCCCTTACTGCTCAAGTATGCGATACATGCTGTTCACTATGACACCTTAAATTTTCCCTTTACAACTTGCCTGTACCTGACCAGAATACAATATCAGAGCAGACTCTAAATGCCTTTGTGTATTTTGCTACATTAACTACTAAAAAGGAACTCACTGCTTTGCTTTTGATCAGAAAATACAAGATGTGACAGAATCATATGTGCTTTTAGAGTCTCAAATAAAATTCTTTATTCTACAGTACATCATAAAACATGATTTAAGGGAAAAGTCTAATAGGGAAAAGCTATCAATCTTTTCCTTTCAGACGTGCCCTCCCATGTCAGAAGGGAGGGCAATTTAAGGACACACAGAGATAATTCTGATCTGGCAGCATCACATCACACACACGGTATTATGAATTTAATTTTGTTATTTATTTACAACTCTGAAAAACATGCTTTGACCACTCCAGTACCACATCTTTTCCCTTCTCACCAAATTAATCAATAGCTGACTTCCCTAAGTTTTTTTCTGTCCTGCAACAGGTGGAGCAAGACAGAGGATTCATTCCCTGACCACATGCCTTGCTCTGTGTCCTTCTGCAGGCAGTACAATAGCAGTGACAGGCAGCAAAACCACTGCCGACTCCTACAGAGTGGTACCCTGCATTAATTAGCTAAACAGCAGGAAACATTTTCTAGCTCTATTGTCCTTGGATGTACAAAAGCCCCTTGCTGACCCCAAAGCATTAGCTTGTCTGTATAATGCAGCTACCAAGAAAAGTGAGTCCCTTGTCTAAAAGATCAAGTTCAGGTCATCACTGTTTACGTTATTCAGAGATGATTGTGGCTCAGGCCTGAAGTGAGTTTTCTTCCTGCCAATTAAAAGGTTAAGCAAGCCACTCCTGCGATCATGGAAAGAAAACGCAACCCAGCCTCTTGAAACACATGCCGGGCTCCTGAGATGCAAAGCTCTATTTGTTTAGCATGACTGAAGTATAGTACAGTTAGTTTGGGGATTCATAAACATGTACCAAGTTAAATCAACCATGCTTGCCCAAATTGCCGCAAAGCTTCTCAGTGACGAGCTTTGTTATTTTGTATCAAAGAGCACATTCATTCAGCTTGCCTCTGTTTAAACATTTGGTCACTATAAGTGGACTTAAGACTGAGAAGGATAAAACGTTTCTGAAAAATCTTACTCAAATGATTCAGACAAGTGGAATTTCATTGTTTACCCCACAGAAACAAGTTTATGAGGACACCAGAGTTTTTGTAGTGTGCAAGAATGCTGATACTAGTTTACGCAGCAAAGCATCAGGTTATTTTCTGCCATAGGTTTCTCACCAATTAAAGATGATTTGTAATTCAACACTTAAACCCACCTCTGTGATTTATAACAGAACTAGTTTTAAGATCCAGATTTCCCTCTTGCACTACCTTTGACTATTTACATTTTGTTCACTTTGAATTGCAAGACTGCAGTAGTTTATTTTACCTTCTGGGTTTTGTGGATTAGGGTTATTCTCCAATAACCCCCGGTCTCCAGAATTTCGGGGGAACATTTAAATCCGGACTAAGAGCTATTTTCAACATAATTAAAAATCTGTAGAAACATTTCTACTGACGTTAAGATCTGCAATAATTTACAGGGCTGCTTTGATACCAAAATGATGCTTAAATGCAGTATCATCCTGACAGCAAATTTTCCTTCAGCTTCTTACCAGTATACAATCAGTCCCATTAGACAGCAACATACCACCAGCTGAAGATGAACAATCCTACCTCCCACCAAGCCCCAGGCAGCCTCAGCTCTCAGGTACAGCACTGAGCCGTTATATGAGTAGACTACTCCTAGATAAATCGTACATTAAACCAACAGTGCATCCCATCTAGCTGCCAGGTAATGCTACCTGACAGCTCTGAGCTCCGTCCCAGATGCGCGGGAGCTGCCTGCAGCAAAGCTAGGCTCCCTTTCACTGCAGGCCTTTTGAGAAACCAAACAGAGCGGACACCCCACAGCCATGAGGTCCAGAGGTCCTGCAGGAGGCCAGAACACGATGACAAGGCAACGGGGGAAAGCCTAGGGCTACATTTCTGCTATAAAGTACTGATTAATTGTTCTGCTGTGGTGGACCGTATAATGTTAAATGACAAAGAAGGAAGCTTGTCTTTTGTCTGTATATGAAGAAGGGCTGAGTGTAAATTTAAATTCATTAGGATACATATTCCAGTACAAGAGTGACTATGACTTTTTCATTCACACTTCAGTCAGCCATGGGCAGGTGACATGCACCAGACAAAAAAATGCCAGTGTCACTACAAATGCTGACTGTAGCGAAACTAAACTGATTTAATTCAACTGGCGCAAATGTTTATGTAGCTAAGCACCAATTTCCTGGAATCCAGAAAGGATGGAAACCTATTCCTACCGCAATCAGTAGTAAAAGCCTTCTATGGATACTCAATGTGGTCAGGTGTCACCTTTCAAGCCTGCACTGCTCATTCAGGACAAAGTTTTGCAGATGTCAATGCTTCATTCCGTGCTGAGATTCTGCAAGAGTTCAAGGCCAGCCTTCAGCACCACCATACTCATTCTCTACCCTTCCACCCTAGTAAAGCCATTGCACAACACTGCACCAAATCCACAGCACAGATAGTTTAGTTACCAGATTTAAGATGCAATGCATAAAAAGGTGATTTAACACAGCCCACGGTAACTGTTCGTTCACGTGCACTCAATTAAAGACATTTCTAAGCATTCACATTCTATTGCCAAGATAAATCAGGATCAAAAAAGGGAGAAAGCTTAGTTAGAGACTAAAAGGTTGAAAAGAGCTTTTCAATTTAAACTTGAAAAGTTTAAGCTAGAGGTGGTATTTTAGTAGGAAAAGTACAATAAAGCATACTGCACTGTTTCTACTGACAAAGTGACACTTCTTAGTTTCTACAAAAAAGAAAATATGTGTATCAATTTGGTATGAAGAAGTTTCAGTAATGGATTTTGGTACAGGTACACAAGAGTTGAAACCCCTCTCTAGTGCAGAGCCTCTCAAGAACTGCCTGCGAGACAAAATGCCAGGGAGCTTTACAACACAGGCTTTAAGAAAACACTTTCGACTTACTGTTGCACTATTTGTATAAGCTGCAGGGTAGCAAAACGTGATGACCTTCACAAGCTTTCTTTTTGGACCTTTACAGACAGGGATGTTCTTTCCTTTGGCATCTCACACAGTCAAAGAGGGCAGTATTTGTCTTCACTTGGGTTCTTGAGATTTTTTCCCCCCTGAAATGGGGACGCCATCAGTCCTTCCTGAGACATTCTCTTAACAGAAGCAAGGAACTCTGTACATGAGCCCTAAAGAGTTAACAGAGCTGTTTATGCAGAGACAGATGTGAAAGAACATAAAGACCCCTTTGTGTGTTACAGGAGCTTAACATCTGCTTTGCACAGCATAATCCTACTAAGACGAATGTAGTATTCTACTCTCCCTTTTACATAAACAAAAATGAAAATAGACTCAAGAGTTTCAGAGTTAAAAATAAGTTGCTTAGATGAAGAAATCCCATCGTTTTATTTTACAGTATGACATACAAGCTAAACTCCTCAGAGATTTTATTGCACTCCAGAAAATACAGGAACACTACTGCAGTGTCATTTGCAAACCTCTGCTGACTGTTACTGAATTAGAATACTTAAAGGCCAACTGAGATGTATCAGCTGCTTTTGAAGTGCTACCCCCTAGGAGAAACACCACTGACAATTAAATGTACAACAGGAAGTTTACAATACTAGATACACTTCTTAAACGAAACCGATTGTGTTTAAGAGACAGGCTCCATTTGGGTCCCAAAGTACCAGTAAAAGTTTAGTATTGCGACCATCATTAGAAATAATCATCTATAACAGCTAATCTTTTCAGCGCAAGCCCTCCCCTGCAGTACAAAATATCCAGGCAAGAGCTTACTCTAGCACAAAGGGGACCTTACAACCGCAGCAGCAAGTATGAGACTCACTGGACAAAGGTTCTGTTCATTGCTTGGGTTTTATTTTGTTTTATTTTGTGTTAAACAAGCAAACAGCATACAAGGTAGGAAGTCAGGGTATGTCACTTTCAATCCCAAAGGCAGCGAATTTATGTTACTTCAGATAATCCACAGTAATTGCTTACATGCATGATTCTGTCCCGTAGTAACTGAGACTACTCCTCTCTCAGTGAAAGAAGGGTGAGCCATTACACATTTACTGTGAAGTGAAAGCATATGTTGGCAGGAATACACACATGTACATATGTGTATATATATGTATAGGCCTAGAGACTAGAATTTCTTCACAGATTTTATCCTCAATGGAGCTCACAATGTTTCCTAAAACTGCTCACAACCCACTATTGAGTATAAGATGTTGTTTTCAGTTGCACATAATTCTGCAAAACTAAAAGGCACTTGTTTGGGGGGTTGCCCATTTGTTTTTAAGCAAGAGCTTTGGTAGTGGGTTTTTGGGGAGTGGGTGTTCAGCTAAGCCAGCTCAGCTGCTTGGGGGAACAAACTTAGAATATGTGTTGCAAGCAAATTTTGAAATAATGAAAATTAAAAAATCCTCAAAAATATTAGCCTATAGTATCATACCCAGATATGGCATGTTTTCAACTTGAAATGTGACCAGACCTTTTGCCAC